AAGTTGATAAAGTGAGGTGGGAGAAGATTGCTGATTAATTTAAAAACGAATAAAGCAGAGTAGTAAAGACAGATGAAGTTAACTGGTAAAATTTTTTTTGCTAGGAAGAAGGGTTTAGTATGAGAATCGGGTTTGAGGTTAAAAATTAAACGTATTGATCTTTTTTGGGAAAGTGTTAGGTTGTTCAGGTGGCTTTTTGGACTATTTCCCCATAGTGTGATGCAGTAGGTTAGATAAGGGTAGATGAATGTGTAATAAAGCGTGCGAAGAGCAGAAAGAGAGAGTTTATATTTGATTTTGTAGAAGATGCCTGTGAGTTTGTTGATTTTGTCTGAGGTAGTTTGTAGGTGAGAATTCCATGAAAGATTTTCTGTGATGGTGATTCCAAGAAATTTGGTAGACAGGGTGCGGCTTATAGGAACACCATTAACTAATAAGTTTAGGTTAGGAGCTTGGTTGGTGAGTATTTTTGGGCCAAAAATAATGTATGCACATTTCGAATAATTTATGATTAGTTTGTTATTGGATAACCAGTTAGAGTATTTTTGGAGTTCAAGATTGATATGTTCAGAGCAATCTGGTAGGTTGTTGGAAGTAAAAAGAAGGTTGGTGTCGTCTGCGAACAGTACGCATTTGGTTGAGGGCGAAACATTGCAGAGGTCATTTATGTAGATAGAAAATAGAAGGGGTCCTAGTATGGATCCTTGTGGCACCCCGTGATGAATAAGAGCGTGCTTTGAATTGATGTTGTCCATGGAAACATATTGTGTCCGTGATGAAAGACAGCTTCTCATCCAGTTGTGAGCTGTGCCTCTTACTCCGTAATGATGTAGTTTGGATAGGAGTATTTTGTGATCGATGACATCGAAGGCTTTGGATAAGTCCAGGAAAATGCCAATAGAAAGATTTTTGTTATTCATTTCATTTAGTATGTGCTGAGTGAAGTCAAGAATAGCAAGCTCAGTTGAGTGGTTGGGTATGAATCCGTATTGGTTATTGCAGATAGTATTGTTGGAGCAGAAGAAATTAGAGAGTCTTTTAAAGAAAAGTTTTTCAAGAATTTTTGACAGCGGGGAAAGAATGGAGATGGGTCTGTAGTTGTTAATGTCATCTTTGTTTCCTTTCTTGAATACTGGTATGATTTTGGCTATTTTAAATGAGTCAGGAAAGATTCCAGTGCTTAGTGATAAGTTGAAGATATGATTAAGTGGTGATATGATAGAGGAAATTATGCTTTTGATAAGGAACATGTTGAGTCCATCGTCTGCATACCTCTTTTTGTTTTTCAAGATATTAACAGTAGTTAATATTTCTTGTTCAGTAACAGGATATAGACAAATGGAATGGGGTGTGGATGGGCTCATAAAATCTGTAGGATTACCATAGCAGGGAGGTTGGTTTGAGAGTAGTTGACTAGCGATGTTTGCAAAGTGGGTGTTGAGAAGGTCACATATTTCTTGTTTATTTTTAATTGCTTGGTTGTTGATAGTTAGTTTGGTGATTGATGAGTTAGGAGGTTGCTTGTTTAGAATTTCTTTGATAGTGTTCCATTTTTGTCCAACATTGTTATGTGCGTCTTCAAGTTTGTTAGAGAAGTAGTCTCGTTCAGTTTTTCGTTTGATAGATATGAACATGCTTCTGAAGCTTTTGTAGGTGGCAATGTTGCGGGTGGTTGGATATTTAAGGCTTATGATGTATAGTTTGTTTTTCTTTTTTGCAAGACTTAGAATGTTATCATTGATCCAGCATTTTTTCTTTTTGTTTTTGACAGGACGGAGGGGGGCAAAAGTGTCTAGAGAGTGAGTTAAGATAGTATTCAAAACAGAGCAGCAGTCGTTGACATTTTTTAGAGAAGTCAAAGAATTCCAGTTGTAGTTCGATAAGAAATTGTTGATGTTGTTTATAGATTCTTCAGTTAGATTTCTGAAGTGCTTTATAGGGGCATGGTTTGAGATTTCTGATTTGGAAGCGATGGCGAATATAGGGAAATGGTCAGATATGTCAGACAGAATT